CACCCGGGCCCCACCTATCCTCCCCCGGGGGGCCTTTTCTTCAAGCGCATTTCCAGGACACAGCCTTCATTTCAATGTCTCCTTCCCGATAGTGGTGTGGTTCGAGTCTAATAGCCCCTAGAGATAAGCCAATTGACAAAGAACGGTCAGGATTGACAAAAAAAATGGACATGATTGAACAAAAAAGAATTGACAGGATTAACAATGGACAGGATTCAAGGAGTGAGAAAAAGAACGAACAGGATTGACAAAAAAATAGCCCATAGAGATAAAGCACAGTTGCGGCGCACCTCGGCGCGCGGATTTGTGCACGCACAGCGCACCACACGCAGCGCACCGGAAAAAGGTCAAAAAAAAAAAAAAAAAAAAGAGAAAAAAAAAGTAGGGGTTTCGTAATTTACTAATTTCCTACGGCACCCCCCTGGAAAAAATGTTCAACTCCCCGCGCGAGTTCGGAAATTGTCTGCGCCCCTTGAGTCCCTTGACCCAAAAAAAAAAATTGGGCAAGGGTTGCCGAATTCTGAATTCTGCAGGCTGCTCTCCCACAAATTTCAAAATTGTGGACTATGAAAATAGGGCTCATTGAGCCTTTTTGGGTGGGGTAGGATAACAGACTTCCCCTTTCCTTCTGAAAATCCCACGCAGAGGTGGACGAATTTGCAGCCCAGTAGTGTGCTGCCCCACGCTGTCTCCCAGATGGCACTCTTCATGTTTGGTGAGTCCAGCCAACCACCAATATAACTRAAGTTTGGCATTCAGGTCTGCATGTCGGCAGTTATGGGTTAGGATGAAGATGCCCGTAGCTCTCTTGTTTTTTTTCTTTTTGTTTTCTACTGAATACACACAGTGGCGGTGAAGTTGAAGATGCCTGCAGCTCTCTCGTTTTTTTCTTTTTGGACTTTTTGTCTTCTTCTGAATACGTACAGTGGCCCAAGGGGCCTCTGGCCACTACTCACCACATGCACAAAAGACGTACCATATGACGGTGCATGGTTCCATGTTTTAGCAGAAGATTCATTCAAATGTTATACATTTGGTGAGTACCACTGAGTGGTGGAGCTAGGCCCTGCGAATCACGTGGAGACACGAACAGGGTCTAGCTGAATTGGTGACCCATAACTGCCGAGCTACAGACCTGAACTCGCCCCCACAGAATATGTTGGTGGTCTGATCCCACCTCTCTCATATATGACGCGGCCACCCTGCTTGCTGAAGCGACAGTACTCAATGCCTCCACAATGTCGAAGTGCATCGTTGGAGCCATTTGAGTTACCTGC